CTGTGTATTCAAAGTGGTTAGGATAGATATATAGTTGCATTCTCTTAATGAATAGAATGATTTGTTCTAATGGTGTTTGTAAATAGGATCACAAGTCCACATCTTGTATAGCAATTAACCACTAAGAAGAATATATGCAGTGCATTATTTATTGAAACTGTACTCCCGATTTGATTTGAAACTGTCTCCTTGCTATCTGTTTATCAATAAAACTTTGAAAAAAAAGAAAATATTATAAGTAATTGTGACAGGTATGTAACTTTTTTCGGACAGGTATTTAACTTAATAAAATGTTATTTTTCGCAAAAATAAAATAAATAAATAAATAAATTTAGTATAATACCCTCATCTCCCTAAGAAACCATATATGATCTGAGATAGCTTAAGAAAGCAGAGAATAACAGAAAACTACCACTATCAGCAAAGATAAATACTTGAGAAAATCACTGCTGTATTCTGTAGGCTAGAGACAGAAAATGTTTCAATATATTCTCTATGTTCTATATATTTTGCCACATTAGGTGCTTTGCTTTATATATTCAGTTCAATGCACAACTCTTTGGGCCATGGGTTTAGCACAGCAGCATAAGCAGAGGGTCTTGAGTACAACTTCCAGTACTACAAAAAAAAAAAAGAACTCTTTGAGCTTAATAAAGTTTGACTAATGCACAGTACATACTTTTATTATACAATGAAAATTCCCCAGGGTAACTCCAAATCCAACCAACAAAAACACATTTAGGAAATTTCAGCCCCTACAGCCCAACTAAAGGTTATAAACTAAATTCAAGCCACTCACTGAGAATTGGATACATCAGAAGAACTTTCCTCCGATAAATGTCTGGGGGGAACTTGGCATAATAGACTTTGGCTCTTTGTGTCTCCTCATCACTCTGAATCAGGATCTTTCCAATTCGTATGGATCGACAGCAATCTCTTAAGCCTTGTTCCATTGCCTCACCTTGAAGAAGAAAATTAAAAAGAAAGCAAAGCAAAGCAAAAAAAAAAAAAAAAAAAGGTTGGAGAACATAGTCCAAGAATGGACCAAGCAGAATTTATGACTTTTATTAATACAAATAGGACCCTACCAAAAAGAAAATTTTTCTGGTGCTGACAACTTGCCTTTTTTTTACCTCTTATTCTCCTGTGTTTAATTGGTTGCCCTATTTGGTGGGTTCTTTCCACTCTCATTCATGGGGCTGTGATCAATTTGCTTCCTCTCTAGAACATCATTTAGTAGTCTGTCTAGGCTTGGCTTTGTCATCATGAAATTCTTTAGTTGTTGTTTGTCATGGAAGTATTTCACTTCTCCATTATATTTGAAAGAGAGTTTTGCAGGATAGATCAGTCTGAGTTGGAATCTGTTTTCTTGCAAGACTTGAAGTACTTTGCTCCATGCTCTTCCTGACTTGATGGTTTGTGAAGAGAAATCTGCTGTTATTCTGATGGGTTTTCCTTTAAATGTGATCTGTTTCTTTTCTTTAGCGGCTTTTAGTATACTGTTTTTATGCTGAATTTCTGGGATCTTGATTATTATATGTCTGGGTGTGGTTTTCATTGGGTTGATGTTATTTGGAGTTC